TGTGTATATATGTGGATGTATGTGTGTGTGTGTGTGTGTGTGTGTGTGTGTGTGTGTCTGTGTATGTGTGTATAATCTAGACAAACACACGTACACCACAACACACCGCCAACATTAATCCCCATCCCGTCGCTAATTTTTACAACCTGTTAACATTTTTTACCACATAACCGCAAGTTTGAAATTATATCCTGGATTTTTAACTCTATTTTGAAAAATTTGAACTCTATTTTGAATTCAACTTTAGAAACACCGTAATTATTTCCCTCTACACTACCCAGTTAGGTTAAAACATTATACACAATCTTATTTTTCTTATTTTTAAGTTATTTTTCTTATTCTTACACACACACACACACACACACACACACATGTACACCATCACCCACACTCACACACACACATGTACACCGTCACCCGGACACACACACACACACACACACAACATAAGTTAGTTAATTAAGATACATTTCTCACATCTCCAGTTTGGGAAGAATTTAACGAACGTGTCCTTTGATAATGTTTAGTTCAAGAAGTGTCTTAAGTTAATGGCAGTAAATTTAATCTTACTGGAGCTTAATTCTCCCTCTTATCCGCGTAAATAATAAAAAAATCTGAAAAAAAATCTAGCAACTCCTTCCCCCGCGTTGAGTGATGTAATAATGTGTTGCATAATATATTAGAGTCTTACAAGGTATCGTAAGATTATTGAGGATTATCTTACGTGAGGTAAATGGAATCTGTTGCCGTGTGGGATTAGGCTTCATGTTTACTTTGGTTTTGAGTTGGTTTAGGTTTGGTTAGATTAGGTTAGGTTTGGTTAGGTTAGTTTAGGTATTAGGTTAAGTGAGGTTAAGTTAAGGTATTAGGGTAGGTAAGGTGAGGTTAAGTTAGGTTGGGTTAGGTTAGGGTAGTTTAGTTAAGGCGTTAGACTAGATTTGTATGTTAAAATTAGGTTAGGTTAGTTTCGGATAAGTTAGAATATGTTAGGTTAGATTAGGTCAAGTTATCTTAGGTTAGTTTAGGTCAGGATCGGTTAGGTTAGCGTTAGGGTGGAATAAGCTGGGGTGGGTAATCTTCAGGTGATCTAATTAAGGTATTGTCTACAGGTAGCTGAGCCGTAGACAAGTTTAGATCGAGAGAATTTTTACTTTGTATGAATAGACTTCAGTTTCTACCATACCTCTCTCTCTCTCTCTCTCTCTCTCTCTCTCTCTCTCTCTCTCTCTCTCTCTCTCTCTCTCTCTCTCTCTCTCTCTCTCTCTCTCTCTGTCTATTTATCTATCTGTTTATTTATCTATCTTTGTGTGTGTATTTATCTATCTATCTATCCATCCATCTGCCTGTCTGGGAGTCTATTGATCTATCAATCTATGGATTATTATAGGTTATTTGTCCATTTAACATTACTTATAAAATATTTCTCACATTTCATTTAATAATTATTGCTATTTATTTTGTTTTATTACGGAGAAATTATATATCATCTGTATTAAATTATATATTGGTCAAAGTATAAAAAAAAAATTACTGTTTGGTGTAAATAAATGAAAAGAAGTAATTTAGAATCCAATTTGTATTCATGTCAGTTCTTAATGGGGGTTAAATGAAAGCCAGATGGTATTTTGTTCAATAGGATTCTGTCCAGCGTGAATTACTTTGTCTGTACACCAGGTAAAACAAAAGAGCGTGAATTACTTTGTCTGTACACCAGGTAAAACAAAAGAGGGTGAATTACTTTGTACACCAGGTAAAACAAAAGAGCGTGAATTACTTCGTCTGTACACCAGGTAAAACAAAAGAGGGTGAATTACTTTGTCTGTACACCAGGTAAAACAAAAGAGGGTGAATTACTTTGTCTGTACACCAGGTAAAACAAAAGAGCGTGAATTACTTTGTCTGTACACCAGGTAAAACAAAAGAGGGTGAATTACTTTGTCTGTACACCAGGTAAAACAAAAGAGCGTGAATTACTTTGTACACCAGGTAAAACAAAAGAGCGTGAATTACTTTGTCTGTACACCAGGTAAAAC